CCCTGCAACTGTGCCTGTCTTAGGTTGTTCCTCCCTTGAGGAGTCTTAACCCGTCTCTGGCTAACCAGTCATCTTCCGGGGCCATACAGGGAAATGTAAAGTTGCTAAGTGAGAGAGAAGCAATATTGTTTGAAAACGTTAGCTTTTTACTTCTTTGCAGATTTATGCCCTGTGGCTTCTATGCCCAGCATTTGTCTTGAGGTATCTTTGCCACTTGGAAGAATTATGATACTCGGTAATTTCGATATGAGGCACAAATTCTACCCTGGCCTTCTTTTAGAAAGTGTTTGCTTGTGGTGGTTTAAGGCCCAACTTGCCTGGACTCAGACCTCATTCAGAAACAGATCATGACTCAGCTGGCCACTGCTAAATGCAAGGCTGATGGAGTCATGGATTCAGAGCCCATTAGTTCTGGGATGAGCCTTCAGATCCATCCCATGATTTTGTAGAAAGGTCTCAGAGAGATGACATGACTTGCCAGAGATCTCACAATAACTTAGGAATAGAACTAGAACTCAAATGCATGCCTTCTGCTTCCTGGTCCAGCATATTCCTCATAACTCTTGGCAAATGCTGCTTTCTGCTGGGAGATGACTCCAGAGAGAATTGAACTTGGGCAAATCTGATGACTTTTCTTTAACAGCAAAATGGAGAGACTAAAGTAACGGTTGTTAACCTTGGCTGCACACTAGAATCATCTAGTGTGCTCCTAAAAATCCCAAAGCCAAAGGCCAAATAAATCAGAATACCTGGATATGGAACTCAGGCATCAGTATTTTTAAAAACTCCCAGGGGATCTCAGAGTGCAACCACTGGACACAAGGGATTTCCTTTCTCCTCCCAGGCCTTTAACCTTAGCCCAGCTGATCCAGATGGCAAAGCGGATCCCTACATTATGGTCAAGCTTGGCCAAACAGAAATCAAAGACCGGGACAGATACATCCCCAAACAGCTGAACCCAGTGTTTGGAAGGTCAGTGGTCATCTGGGTCACACTGCACTGTCCTCTGCATTTGCACCTGTTGTGTTTCTGCATGGAGCCCGTGCGTATGCATGTGTGTGTTGAGTAATGATGGCAGGAAGTTAAACTGTCTTCTGCCTGTGACAACAGCCAACCAAGCCTAACCTTCTGGGCCAGATGCTTTCCTTGGGCCTTTCAGGAGTGGGTGGTGTGCAGTGATCTTCATGCTCTTGGTTTTCCAATAATGATTTTCCTAAATCTTAAATTTGGAAGACATCTTGAATGCCTCCTGCCTTTGGACATGGACTTCCTTTTAAAAACAAGGCACCCGGGGCCCAGAGAGAGGTTTAGAAACTTAAATTCACACAGCTCATGCGTGGAGAAGGGCCAGATCTCTGGTCTTTTATCTCCCATCAAAGGGATTTTCCCATCATACCATTTTGCAGCACATTTGAGGTGACCCCTAAAGTAAAAAAGTTGAACCATATCCCCCACTTGTGTTTTGTGTTCCTGCAAAGTGTGTTCAAACACATTGCATTTGTGTGCATTCAGTGAAGGAGGCATTCTCCAGTTCACATCAGCCCTGCCACTCCCACTGGTCCCCTAAGAGGGTGTGTCACACATTCGTGCTCCCTGTTTGGTTTGTGTACCTAATGGCTGTTAAGTTTAAAGCCAAGCAGATGTGGGTTTCATTCTGCCATGTAAGGCTGTGTAACTTTATGCAGGTAGCTTGACCTCTCTGATCCTAGTTTTCCTCATGTAAAGCAGCAATAATGACACTTAACTCTCAGACATCTTTAGAAATTGAATGTACAGCACCAAGCTCATTGTCTACAATAGCACACAGTCGGTGCCAAAAACACATCAGTTTCCTTCCACTCCTCCTTGGTAATCATTTCAGCAGTGGGTACATCTTAAGGGTATTTAATTCTTATTTCTTGTATAACAAGGGACATGGGATGAAATCTCCATCAGCCTCACTTAAATTCATTTACACATTTGGGATCAGTTTCCAGCCTCTGATATTTGATCAGCACCAGCCTCTTATTCTGTAGTGCTCTGAGGAAATGAGGCAATAAATGATCTTGCTTATTCAAATTAAAGAGAATGACAAAAATGACGGTGCCAGAGAAACTTACCCTTACTTCCCTGATCCAGAGACGACCTCTATCATTAGCTGCCATTTATGTAACAGCACTTCATTTTGCCAAGTGCTTTGCCGTCACTTTTTATTAGCTACTTCCACCACGGTGCCATAAATTAGACTGCTTTTATTACCCTCATTTACAGCTGTGGTAAACAAAGAAGAGGGTGATGGAATATTCCCCACTGGCATTGCAGAGCCTCTTCCAAACCCTCCATGTGTGGTTGCTTTGTATTTAATTGCTACTCAGGGACAGAAATTGCTGGCCCAATCATGCAGTGCTCCGGCAAGGACAGTCGAGGGCTCTAGTGCCTGACCTGGGGTCCTGGGAATCCCCTTTGGCAACTTCACCCTGTGAGCATGTGACAGGCTCCACCCGCCGATGCCAGGGCATCTTGCCTGCTTTAGTTTCCTTCGTAACCTTTGACATGAATTGATATGCTATGTGCTCATTAGCTGTCTCCCATCTCCCCACAAGGATGGAAGCTCCATTTGGGCAAGATTTGGTCTAGTTTGTTCAATGCTGTGTCCCCAGAACCTAGGACAGGGCATGGCATAGAGCAGATGCTCTGTAAGTGTGAATGAATGAATGAACAAACAGAATGAGGGACAAACCTTCAGATGAATGGGACCCTGTCACTCCTCATCATCCTGAAGTGGAACATGTCTGCAGTCCCTGACTTTTTTAATAACCACAGTGCTTGACAGGTAGTGGATGTATAATAAATGCTGAGCGAACAAATGAATAAATAAGAGAATGGATGACTGAACAAAGAAATAATAGGACATCTTTGCTCTGAAGCTTAGAGGTGGTGAATGTTTTTACCCATTTCTGGATACATTCTCTTTTCTCTAACCACCATTGTATCTAGAGAGAGTATTTCATTGACATACAAGTTGGCATAGGCCTAGTTTTCCCCTATGTGACTGAAAGTCCAACCATGGTGAGCTATTTTTGATAGTTTTATAAATGACAGTCCAGTGAAAATTCAGCAGAGGCTAGTCTGTGAGCACACAGCTTGGGGAGATGGACCAGAGCAGCTAAGTCCCCGGTCATGGTTGCCAGGGGGTCAAGCACTTAGTAAGTCTGTCCTCAGTGGCAGCAGCCATGGTGATGGCCACGCCCAGGCACAGGTGGCTGGAGGCTTCCTTTTGAGATGCCTCCAGAATATCAATTATAGTTTGGAATCTAAATCTTGGAGCCCCAGGGAGGCAATGCCATATGCCTCCAGACAGAAGACGTAGGATTTCTTCCCTTGCATGGCCATGCCTTGGCTGGCTAGAGCTGCCTCATTTGGATCCAGTTGCTGGAGTTGTCCGACAATTTCTGCTGCTTTCTCTCTGGGGAGGGTTCATTGGCCCTGGGCTGTGTTGTGATGGCTGTCCTAGCCGCGCTGGAGAGGAGTGAGAGGGTAAGTGGATCTGACCATGGGGGCAGCAGCCAGAGGGGACATGCAGGGAAACAAAGGTCTTCTGTTCTCCCTTCTTCACCACCTCCTCTCGGTCCCTTGCTCACAGACCAGCCCACCCCACCCTGTCCTAGGGCAGCCTGAGTTGGGAACAGCTGGAGAAACACTGATGTGCACTGATTTTGTTTTCAAGAAGGCATTTTCCTAAATGAACTGTGATGTGATTCTTAATTACCTTCTCCAACGCTCAGAGGCACAGATAACACATGGCCGCAGGAAATCCAACAGCCTCCTTGCAGCGCCTTGCATGGCTGCAGCACCATGGAAAGAGCTGAGAACTGGGAGTTGGGAGACTGGCACTTCCCCCAGTTTGGGCCTGATTCATGATCCTGGGCAAGTCACTGTGTTCCCAGATTTCAATTTCCCTATCTATAAAATGAAGAGATTGGATATGGTGATTGCCTGAGATGCGGTACCATTCAAAGGAACATTTAAGTGTTTCCTCTGTGTGAAGTGAAGTCACCAACAAGGCAGAGATGCAAACTGCAGGTGTCTATTTTCAAGGGGCTCAGGGTCTTGTGGAGGTGGCATACCTGTCTGCAATTCTGTTCTTTGTGACTTCTCATCTTCAGTAGGGTTTTCACTTAAAACAAACTCTGCTGGTATTTCCTGATGAAGCAACAATGGAGGGGAATGGAAATACTAGTTTATTGGGCACCAGCTGAAAACTGGGAAGATTCATGTGTATTTTTATATAAACAATCTCACATTTAACTGCACTCCTAATGAGGCTGAAGGGGATGAAATGATTTACCCAAAGTTTTACAACCAGGAAGCTACGGGTGCAAAACCAAAATTGGAAATCAATTTTGAAAAACAAAATCCTGTTTGAGAATGACCCGAGGCTTTCCATCTCCATCTCGCTGTCATCCCAGATAATGACTACAACATAGTCCATAAAAAGGGAGATTATTGGCTAGAAAAAGTTGACAAAGGAACTAGAAATTGATTGTATCTCAATGAAACATTAGGCTAAATAAATATCCACTAAGCTTTAACTGAGTTGCTGAGTGTTTAATGAGTTCATATGGACAGTGGACTACTGGGAAAAAGTTCCCTGTGTTGTCAAAAGCCATGGACTCCTAACGCCTCTGTTTGGACGACAGGTCATTTGAGATCCAGGCCACGTTCCCAAAGGAGTCCCTGCTCTCCATCCTGATCTATGACCATGACATGATCGGAACAGACGACCTCATCGGGGAGACCAAGATTGACCTGGAGAATCGCTTCTACAGCAAACACCGAGCCTTCTGTGGCCTGCAGAGCCAGTACGAGATGTGAGTTCTTTCGAAATCCCGTGGAGACAGCACTGGTGTTCTGAGACTGTGGCCTCAGGCTGCCCATGCTCTGGGAAGGCCGGCCCAGGCTCAGCTTTAGTATCTCAAAATGATTCCAAGCGGCAGGGCTGGCTTGGAGAACCTGTTCACTGCACTTGAAGTTGGCTGGGTTTGGAGTAGCAATTCCCTCAAGGCCTATTGAGGTGTTACCCCTACCTTACAAATGAGGGAGGAGTAGACCCCACTCTCACTCTTTACAAATATTTTGAATTCTGCTTAATTTTAAAATGTAGACTACCGCTTTATCTTTTTTAAAGTATGCTTTATCAGATATCTTACAAAAAAACAAAAATATCTCAAATTTCAGCCAGGAGAACATACTAGATTTCCATGGTATAATTTTAGAAATATTTTTCCTGAATACAAAATAATATACATTCATTTAAAAAAATCAGGGAAATACAGAAAGTACAAAATAATGCTTAAAAGTATTATGCTCAGAGATAACATGTAACAAATTTATGTATTTCCTTTTAGTATTTTTCCTGCTGTTTCCCACTAAGGTGGGCCTCATTCTACCCATGTAATTTTGAAAACCGCTTGTTGCACTTACCCTTATATCATAAGCATTCTATAATGTCACTAAACATTTCCTGAAATCATTATTTTAATAGCTCTGTGGTGGTCCTTCATATGAATTTATTATTAAATGAGATAACCAGCTTGTCTCTGTGAACTTTAGAGCATTTATGCTTTTCTTTTTTATCCTATTAGAAATATTATTGCTATGAACACTTGCCTACAAAAGCCATTGCATAGCTTTCTGCTAATTCCCTCAGTAGACATGGATTATTCCATTATAAGGATTGTTACATGTATGTCTAAATCGCTCTCCAGAAGGGTTGTACCATTTTAGACTCTCTTTAACACAGTCTGCCTGTTTCCTCCGTGGCATGATTTTCAGACGAGGCTCTACTGCTGGCCTATTTCTCTCTGAGCCTGGAAAGCCAGTTCAGTTTTGGGGGCTCTAGTGATTGTATGAGCCACCTGGGTATTTGCATCATTCTCAAGTACCTGAGAGGGTACCATTCAGAGAATGAATGATTTTAGCTGTCCTCACTCTGAAGTCAGTGAGGAAGCCACAGCAGATGTGATGCATCTTCTCTTCAGAAGAATTTTCTGATGGTGGAACTACCAGGGAGCAGAACAGTTTAGCCAAAGGAGTTGTAACCTTTGTTCACTGAAGGTTAAAAATAGACACAAGCATGTATTTCTGGGGAGGCCTATGTATGTCTCAGGGCCTGGCTGGGGTGAACTTTTCAGAATCCATGTATCTCTGGATGTAGGAGATACTGCTACTGTAACATGTAGGAAAACTGCTTTACAGATATGTTTTGATTTACTTAAATGCTTAAACAAGTTAACTTCTGATTAATCCGGTGTCCCAATGGGCAGAAAAATCTAAGCTTACCTTGGTCATGGCTCATAGGGGGACATTCATTGCAAGTTAATAATCTTTAACCTAATAGCTAATTTTTAAGGGAGGAAGGAGTTGGAAAGATTTAGAAACTCACCATCAGGAAAATCACTCATTAGAGAAACAGCATGTCAAGACTTTTTACCTGTGACATGAATCTCCAATATGATTTTGACGGGGGTGGAGAGGGGAAGAAGGAAGCAAAGAAATTGGAAGACTGAAACCAGGCTTAGAATAAGTAGCAGGTGGCTAGTCGGCTAGGAACAGAACAAAAACTAAACAAAAACTACATGCAGTGAAATTCACAGAAACAGAAAGCAGATTGATGTTTGCCAAAGGCTGAGGGGAGGTGGGACAAGGAATAACCACTTAATGGGTGCAAGATGGAAAATTTCTGGAACCAGATAAAGGTGGTGGTTGCAGAACATTATGAGTGTACTAAATGGTACTGAATCGGTCAACTTTAAAATGGTCAGTTTTATGTGAATTTCATTAAAAAATTTTTTAAAGTTATATTTCTTAAAAAAATCAGAACTGCCTGTAAAGGATTCTTATGCCAAGTCATACAAGCATATATATCGAGAGACATTGACCAGAAAAGAGGAAACAAAACAACCAAAACCACTAGCCTTTTATACTAGCAAGAAAAACATGACAGATACCACCGATCATACTTAGGTGGCTCTCATAGTGGGGACCTCGAGTGTGTCCTCCCAGGTGAAGCCAGGCCTCACTCCTTCTCTCCTTCCCCCCCTTTCCAGAGAAGGATACAATGCCTGGAGGGACACATCCAAACCCACCGAGATCCTCATCAAGCTCTGCAGAGACAACAAGTTGGACGGACCCTACTTTTTTCCCGGGAAAATACAGATAGGGAACCAAGTGTTTTCTGGAAACACAGTCTTCACCAAGCAGGACACTGGTAACCCTCCACAGCGTATCCTGCTGACATTGCTCTTCTTTTGAAAAGCTTACTTCTGGTGGTATTTGTGACTAGGGACAGTGGTCATTTATTATTAAAGTAATGCATGGTAGAAAATATGGAAAAGTAAGGGGTAGAATGAAAATCACTCATAATCCCCAAATTCAGAGATAAGCATGTGGCATACTGGTGTATTTCTTACAGTCTTTGTGTGTGTGTATGTGTGTGTGATATGTCACATTTCTTTTTTACAGAATTGTAAATGTACCATACATAGTTTTGTATCCTGCATTTTGTATTTCCAATAGATTATGACTATTTTCCTTTATTCTTTGGAACAATCAATGATAATGTTCCAGTCTATGGTCATGTCATTCATTTACAATTGTGTATTTTTATGTAATGACACTCAATACTATCATGAACATCCTTGCACCTGTTTTTACACATTTTTGTTGTTTCTGTAGTATAGATCAGATAAGTAGGATTATTGTGTTGGAAGGTAGATAATTACCTTAAAATGAATATTATATAAAATGAATAATTGGACACAACTCAATTTATCCCTATTTGCAATATAGTTGTTATACTAACAACTTTTCAACACCAGGAAGTAGATTTTCTATATGAGCATTATGGGGCATACTAGGAAGGTCCCAGAAAGGTTTTCATCAATTTATGATGAGGAAAAAAGCCACTTTTACTTCAGTGATACAGAGTAATTCTTGCACTGTCACCCCAACTCTATTTATAACCCTACTTGATGTTTCAAAATGGCCTCTGTATGGGGTAGTGTTTCTGATGCATTGAGCCCAATTCAAGATGTGCTATAGGATGTTTTGACACTGTTATGCTGATCCCACCACTTTGATGCCAAAATTTCTTTTTACCTTGTCATTTTGACATTAAGAACCCCTTGAAAGTTCTTGCATGCAGAGTAATTGACATTTAGATCGTGTGTTAATGACATAATAATGAATTTCTGTTCAGAAAAAGATTTTTTCACAATATAGTCTATTAAGTCAATTCAGTTTCTTAGTCAATAGCCTACATTTTCATGATTAAACAACTTTTTCCTACCCAAAATCTGAAATTATGTTCATCAAGATTAGATCTTAGATGATTAAGCTTTATGACAAAGATCTAGTTCGTTGATTATGTATTTATCCCCATCAACTTCTACTAATTGTAATTATTGCTATTGGGAGATTGTTTTTGTGGCCTTTTTTTGAAACTGAGTTCAACTTTCCTGTGTCCAATTTAGCCATTCTGAGCTTTGTCGAGATTTAATTATTCCAACACGTTTTGTCCTATTTCACGAGTATTGTTTTTACTAGTAGTTTTTACTGTGTATTACCTTTTTTGCTAAAATGAAAGATCAGAGAACCTTTCCTGCTGGCAGGTGTGGGTAGGAGGGCAATCCCAAGCAATAACAAGAGAAGACACGAAAATAGCCATAGACACATATCGCACACCCATTTCCTCACCTTGTCTAGGGTCTCCCCAGGCCCTCTCACACTGTGGTGTGAGCAGTTTTATACCTCCAGGAAACCTACCCTCTCTAGTGACTTAAAGCCAAGCTTGTAATCCCTAGATTCTAGAGGAATCTGGCTGAAGGGGTGAAAAGAGCCCTGTATTCCCAGACCCTGCCTGCTTCTAGCTTCCTGACTCATTGCACTTCCTGCTCTCTAAATCCTCCCCCCACTCTACCCCATTACTGTTTCCCAGTCTTTGTCCTCTTCTCATTTGCTGTCTTTTCTCTCTTTGTGCCCTGGTATATTTAAACGAACCTTTAAGGGAGTGTTTGAAAATGCATCTGACAGCCCATCACTGTTCCCTTACAGGAACTCACATCTGACAAGTCTCTTTATTTTTCTCTCTTCCATGCAGATGAGATGGTGGAGTCCTATGAGCACTTGGCCCTCAAGGTTCTTCACTCTTGGGAGGATATCCCGGAGGTTGGGTGTAGGCTGGTTCCTGAGCACATAGAAACTCGGCCCCTGTACCACAAAGATAAGCCAGGAATGGAGCAGGTAATGGCCAAAACAGTTCTGGTCCCAGCAGCAGTGTTCACCCCCAGGGACTGTGACATTTACCCTAAAATTTTATTTTGTGTTCCCTATAGTAAGGGTTCTCAACCAGGGACAATTTGCCCCTGCCCCCTCCTCCCCTGGACATTTAGTGATATCTGAAAATATTTTTGGTTGTCTTAAGCAGGTGGGGGTGCAGCTGACATCTAGTGGGTAGAAGTCAGAGCCGCTACTAAACATGTGCTGCACAGGACAGCCTCTGCAACAGAGAATGATTCAGCCCATAATGTCAAGAATGCTGAGGTTAAGAATTTCTGCTCTAAAGTCAAAGTTGGATTTAGTGCTTTGACCTTTAGTGCTTATCCAACTCCTTTGGAAGATCCCTGATATCTAAGAAACTGCAAAGCCCAAGACCTTGTCCAAAATCTGCATTATTAAGAGCCTTCTGGGTGCTAAGCACTTCACATAAGTTGTCTCACCTAATTAGGATGATCATAGAACTGTTTATCCAAATGGCATGGCCACTGTGAGAGTGAAAGAGAACACTTTTGCTAATGAAGCTGGTCCACGGGGGCATGCATCAGGATTTTGCTAGATGAACAGGGGTATGTGGGTTACCTAACCCTTATTCCTTACTGTTACCTGGTGGTGTACTTACTTAGGATCCTTACTTTTAAGATGAGGAAATTGAGGCTCAGAGAGTTTAAGTAATGTGCTCAGTGTTACTCAGCTGGTAAGCATTAGGCTGGTATTTAACCCAGGCAGTTTCAGTCCCTGATCCTGCCCCAGCTCTGTGCACGCTCACTGTGCAGCTTGGGCAAAGCCCAGGAGCTTGACTATCGTGAGGCAGGAACACCCCCCGGGCCAGCCCAGCAGTGTGGGGGTGAACCTGGTGATAGAATGTGTGTGGGAGTATCTTGAAGGATAATCTTTTATTAGATGTGGAAGTTTATGATTGTTTCCTGAAATTTACTACCAGATGCTTGAAATCTTTAGGTTACGGTATACTTCATTTTACCTGTCACATGTGGCTTTTGGTTAAACATGGATGTTCATGTCTCTTGAGAGGCCCTAGGGCTGGAAACCTCCACTGAATTGGCTCTTCTTTTCCCAAATACTAACTCTTTGCTTATGTTGTTCCTTGCCCTAGAAAGCCTTTTTCTTTTCTAGCCAAAGCCCCTCCTTCATCCAAACCCTACAAATCCTTCCCCCTCCATTGGAAGCCCCACTTAGTTCATATAAAATCTTTCCTGACCACCCCAACCCTTTTGATCACTCACCTTCTCACCTGAGCGGATGGAGTACTTAGAATGTATGCAACTCAGCTGAGCATGGACTCCACTGGAACTTCTCCCTGTGCGGGCTCTCAATTCCCTTGCAACAGGGTAAATTCTGATGTGTGGAGTCCAGAGCAGTGGAGGGGAGGCCCTACTCTGCAGCTAATGAGCCACAGGATTTCAGATCATTTCTTTGACTTCTCTAAGCCTTAGCCTTTATGTGTACCACAGAAGTATGGCTGGGGTGAGCATTAATGGAGATAGTGGATGATAAGTTACCAACCATGAAGCATGGTACTTCTGACAGTACTATCTTTTTAATTCTTAGAAGTTTATTTAAAAAAGGCATGGTCTCTGGGGTCAACAGAAAGTGTTGAATCCAGACTCTGCTATATATGTCTGTGTAAAAATTGGCAAGCATATGCCAAGTAGAAATAATAGCATCTACTCAGTGGGCATATTGGGAGAATTAATGAGATAATGCTTATCAAGTGCATAGCACTGTGTGTACCACATAGTAGGTGCTTAATAAGGGTTTTCTTGCCTTTCCCCTACTCTTAATATATGCTCTAATTCTTAATAAAATTGTGTAAGTTCTCTGTGTCAACAAATATTCTAAATATGGATAATATCAACATTATTGCATTATATCATGTTAGATATCTAATATCCATTTCTAGTAAAGGGAGTTATTAAAACTGAATGGTCAGTTGCCAATGTAGTACCTCCTTCCCAAAGTTAAAGGAGGCCTTCTTTTCTTAACAAGGGCCGCCTGCAGATGTGGGTGGATATGTTTCCTAAAGATATGCCTCAGCCTGGACCTCCTGTTGATATTTCACCAAGACAACCCAAAGGGTAAGTCACTGGCAGTCCCACTATCAGAGGAAGAGTCCATGGTGGCAGATTAAAGATCATGACACTTGATCAGCCACATTGGTTGTTACACTGTAACATAAGCGACATCAATCCCTTGGCACCTGAAAGTCATACCTCACTTTCCACTTGGCCGGTTACAGTAGGGGGTGAGTGGTGGGATGGTAGCAGTGGTGGTGCTTGAGATGGTGGCCCCTGTTTTATGGTAGTGACTACTGAGCTTCAACATTCTTCAGCATTCTGAAAAATGTGGGTTAGTGGAAGGCAGATATGCTCATAGAAATTCATATACTTGGTGATTCCAGCTGGGACACATGGTCTTGATGGAACCAAGACCTTGAGTGTTGCTGTTTTTGAGCTTTGCAAAGTTGAAGAAGCTTATAGACTCAGAGCAATACCAGAATCACACAGACACCAGCTGACTCAGTTCTCCAGGTCTTCAGCCTCATGCTGCCTTCCTTTATTTATCCCAGGTATGAATTGAGAGTAACCATCTGGAACACTGATGATGTCATCTTAGAAGATGAGAATATCTTCACAGGACAAAAATCAAGTGATATTTATGTTAAAGGGTAAGGTCACTGACAAACTCATCCATCCACCTCTTTAACCCCCAACCAAACCTATGCCTCATGGAAGATATTCCACTCACATCCCATGAAGGGAGCCCATCTTTCTCATCTCATTAGATAAGGTCACTTTCCTGGTCTTAACTGGTCATTTTGCTAAGAATTATTATCCTATGCCTAAAGAGTGGACTCTGAGTATTCAATTTTTTTCTCTACCTTTATGCAGGTGGATAAAGGGTTTGGAAGATGACAAGCAGGAGACAGATGTGCATTACAACTCCCTAACTGGAGAGGGGAACTTCAACTGGCGCTTCCTGTTTCCATTTCAGTATCTCCCAGCTGAGAAGCAAATGGTCATTACCAAGAGGGAGAACATCCTCTCCTTGGAGAAGACGGAGTGTAAGACACCAGTCGTGTTGGTGCTCCAGGTTTGGGATTTTGAAAGGCTGTCCTCAGATGACTTTCTGGGTAAGGCAGTGGCTTTATCAAGCTCATATTAATGTTAGAGTTTGGTCTCAGCCTCTGGAGACCTTGGTCCAATTTAGCTACAAGGATAATAATTTCGGGTCTATTTGTGAGAGCCAAAAATTGAAACACTCAAAATAGCCATTAATAGGGGAATAGCTAAAGAAGTTACAGTGTATTCCTATGGTGAGAGATACATATTCAAACAGACTTAAGTTGATCTTTGCTCTACCGCTAAGAAGTTCAGTTTTCAGCTAATTACTGGTCTCTGTATTTCAGTTTTCCTAATTGCAAAATAGGGATAGCAATATTACATACCTTAGAGGGTGTTGGGAGCTGTAAACATGAAAATATAATTTGAAAACTAAGCACAGTGCCTCACACATAGTAAGCACTCAATAAGTGACAACCCTACAGCCATTAAAATAGAATGTTTAATGAGTTGGATAGTTGTGCAGGATACATTAAATGAAAAAAAAAGAGTGTAGAAAAAAAACCCTCTTTTCTGTAAAATATATGTTTATATGTATAGAAAGAAGAAATAGTCAGAGGTAGGCAAAGAAACAGATGACATATGGATGAGAACTAATAGAGCAGCAGTCAGTTTTGTGGGGATAGAATTATGGAAAATTTTCTGTTAATTTTTTGCTTATGTGCATGCTCTAAATGTTAGCAATGAATACTGCTTTTGAAATAGGGGAAAGTTATTAAAGAGAAAAATAAATAATGCTCTCACAGATAAAATATATAATTATCTTATCCTGCCTTATATTCATTCCTTGAAAATACATTCTTGAGAGCCCACCAAGGTCTTGGAGAGTAGCTACAAAGACAATAAGACTTTCTCCCGACCTGGGGAGTTCAGTGGCCTCAAAGAAGGAGGGGAGGTTGGGGGAGGAGGTCCCCATAGGCTGACCTGTGCCAGGGCAGGGTAAGCTCAGAGAACATGCACATAATCCAGGTCACACTCAGAGAGCTGACACGGTGCCCAGCAGTGATGACATCTACAACTGAGGTTTGAAAGTTACATATTGTAGCTTCGCCCTTGTCTTCTACCTGCCCCCACATTATTAATGCTTTGGGGACCCCAAATGTGTCTTGGTCATATTTGTACCCACAATGCTTGTGATGCAATGTGGTGCTAAATGAATGACAAATGAATGAATGAATGAATTGGGTGGATGGGTGGGTGAATGAGGATGGTGATGGATTTTAAAGTCCTTCTGTAACTTCTAAGGGCATCTCTCCACAGGTTCCCTGGAAATGAACCTCAATAGTTTCCCCCGAGCAGCCAAGACTGCCAAAGGCTGTGATCTCACCAAGTTTGAAAATGCAGGTGAGGAGAGCAAGATCTCCATTTTCCAGCAAAAGCGTGTACGGGGCTGGTGGCCTTTCACTAAAAGCAAAGAACTCACGGTAAGTGGCAGCTACAGGAGGCAGGGTTGGCAGGGGAGAGGCAAGGGACATAATGTTTTTTTAATGAGTCATTTTGTGAACTTCAAGTCAAGTGCCTTGAAATGACATAGAGCCTGCAGGGCAAAGGTTCTACTGAGAAGCAAGAATTTTGGAAACTATAAATGCATCAAACCTTCCACCTTTCAGCGTTTTTTATTTAATAGCCATCTATGTCAGGATGGTTTAGATTCCTCTTGGCTTGAGCTTGTGCCTCTGGCATTAATTTTTTTTTTCAACATTTCTTGAAATTATGCATGAAGTCCTGACTTATATATAATTTTAACAGAACTACCTCATTCTTTCACTCAAATGTGAGATTCAATTTCAAAAGACATCCACGCTCTTAAAGCTTCCTCCAGGGGGCGAGAGTAGGGAGAGCCATGATCCGTTTCTTGCATCGCCAACATGGTTCAATATTTTAAAAGCAGTGTTAGTGGAATGGTGAAGGCAGAAGTGGATTAGCTCGGACTGGAGAGTGGTGTCGGGGAGGAAAGTTTCCCTCCACCCTTCAAGGTCCTTCTGTTGCTGGGTAGCTCCATCTGGGGAGGCCTCTCCCTGTGTGCTAGGCACGCCTTCAACGGAGGGGGGAGGGGGGGCTCTTGACCCTGTTTGGCAATTTGTGAAGAGGTTGAACCAGTGCAGGTAAGAGAGGAAGTCGTCACAGTGAAGGTCTTAGACAAGAGTCAGTGTCCTGTGGGGCCAGGCGAAGTGGCTCCTTTACTCCTGCAGCCATCTAGGCAGGAGAGAGCAAGTGAGAACAGAGGGGGAAAGGGAGGCCCATTGAACTCCTCTTGGCATAGGGCAAATCCCTGGCCAACTCCTAAAGCCAGGGCCACCCGGCGTCCAGTATCTGCTTGACTCTGCACAGCGTGGGAACTGTGTCCCTACTACCCCTTGGGTTGGGAGCTGGGAACACTGGATGGAGTGAGTTTTATGTTCTGGGAACTTCCCAAAGTGAAAGAAAAGACACATTCAAGCAGGCTGCTAAAGAACATGATTGAAGGGCCACAGTTCTATCTGGGTCACCCAGGCGAAGGAAAAGTACAAGTCCGCCCGCCCCTCCCCCCCCAACCTCAGAGGTTTTCACAGCTGCATCCCTGCTTGTTAGAAATAAAACGGGGAGAAAAGGATTGCATTAAATGAAATAGCAAAGTCACAAAGACATTTATTACTGGTGGAGGATCTCTTGAAACTGATTAAGGTCCAGACCCTTGTCTTAGTCTCAAGAACTCTTTCAGAGACAAAGCAAAAGAGGCACCAAGCAGGTTTTATTTAAAGGGACAGTACACACTCAGACAGGAGTGCGGGCAACCTCAGAGAGGGGGCGTGCTTACCGGTTTAGCTTTGGGTTTTATAGGGCCTTTTGGGTAGGGGTTGGTATAAGGCGTGATGTATACAGGTGGTTAATATTTCCTTTGAAGTTTTTGTCCTAAGAATAGGGTTATTTAGGTGACTGTGTAGATATGAATTTCGGCATTATTTATCCACATAGGTTCATTTTCACTCCAGAGGTCTGTCTTCTGTCCTGGTTACAATGTCACTTAATTGATTAAGGTGATTGGAAGAAGGGAGAACAGCATAAAGGTTAAGTTATAGAATAAACTAGGCCTTTGCTCACAGGCTAACTAGATTTTATAGTGGCATGACCCTTGTCCCATGTCCCTGCTCTGTCTCACTTACAGCTATTCTAGGAATTAAATTGACATGACACAGATTAACAGGAAAAACTAAATTTAATTATGTACATGGAATCCACACAGAAATGAGATTCCCAGGGCAGTCAGATTCCCAGGACATATAAAATGAGGTATATATGTCATCCTGAACTAGGGAAAAGGGGCTGGGGGTCCTGTACTTCAAAGGGAAGGAAAGCAATTCAGACGAAGAATGGAAAGAATAAATGTTTGGTAAATACATGTTTGCTGGGCCATCCAGAAACAGTGGGGTACAGAGAGGACTTTGATCAGACAGGCTTCTTCCTGCCCACCGCACCTAGTTCATCTTATACTGCAGTCATCCTCGGTGGTAGCTGCCTTCCTGGGCAGGTCCTCCATCTAAATTCTCTTTACAGGGAGAAGGTCAAAGTTTCTTCCTTAGTCTTTTGGGCCTTGATTGTTTTTAGCTCAATATAATCTGCATGCCAAAGTAGCACATTTGGGGGCAGTCTGTCCTTGGCCTCTTGTATTTTTTTATACATAGCAATAGTCTTACAACTCCTTTCAGGTTTCTGGACCCCAATTCCAGTGTGTGTGTCGGGGTGAGGAGATCTCCCTGTACAACACAAGCAATTCTGCAACACCAGCAGGGTATCTGAGAACTCAATTCTGTGGCATCTGCCGGGAGCAGCACCAGATCCCGCAGGTTAAGGGGTCTGTCCTATAAGACTGCCCTCCACTCCCCACTCCAGACTCCAGTCACAAGTCCCAGGCTGTTACCTGTGCTTCTGACCTACCGGCTACAGATTGGAGGTTCCCACAACCTACCCCTTGGATTCCATTAATTTGCTAGAGTGGCTCGCAGAACTCAAGAAAACACTTATGTTTACCACTTAATAAAGGATACAAGTTAATGGCCAGATGGAGAAATACTCAGGGCAGCGTCCTAAATAAAGGGGCTTCTTCTATCCTTGTGGAGTTTGGGGCCTGGCTCAGGAACATGTGGAAGCTTTCTGGCTCCCCAAGTGTAGAACCTCTCTGACAGAGAAGCAGGATGCAAGAGAGCAAAAAGCTCTTCTCAGTGGTTTTTACGAGGGCTTCATTGCATTGTCATAATTGACTAAATCATTAGCTTTTGGCTGATTCAGACTCCAGTCCCAGCCATTGGGTAAGGGTCTAAAAGTCCCATATTAACATGATGAGACACTCATTTTACCTTTAAGGCTCTGAAGTGTTTTCAGAAACTGTGGATAAAGACCAAATATACCTGGAAAATAATATATTTGGTCATCTGAATGACAAAATATGTATTTCTTATAACTCATTATATTGCACCCTTACAATGGGAAATAAGCCTGTGGAGACAGCCTATGTAGAGTCTTTAGAAGCCTTCACAACTTCATCTTTCACTCCTTCCTGCTCAAACCATGCCAACCATCCTCAACTACTGCTGTCCCCAGTCACTTCCTGCTCCTTTCTACACCCCTGCTTATCTCTGGACTGGTGCTTCTGCCTGGAATGCCTTGGCCCCCTTCTCCTTGGGAAAAACTCCTCTTTAAGTATTGTGAGACTCTTTTCAGCAGTCACCTCCTCTGGGAAGCCTTCCCAGATGCCCTAGCCTGGGATAGGCTTCCCCTGTCATGCTTCCACAGCTCTTGTTGCAGATTTGTAATTGTCTGGAGGTGTCATGGTTCTGCTGTGAAAAACATGAGTTCAGAAAAGGTATTTTTTTCCTTTCTGAATTTTCATTATCTAACATGGTGACTGGTACATAGTAAATGCTTAATAAATAGTTATAGAATGAAATGATTAGTTCAGGAACAATTAAGACATCGACCAATTATATGACGTCAAAGAAATTATATGATTTCCTTCTCTTTTTACTCAGTGTACTGAGCACATGGGAAGAGTTCAGTAAATATCCTTTGAGAATGGATACATCAGCACACACTGACTTATATGATTATCTAAGTCGCCTTAGAAACCAGAGTAATGTCCTAAAGATATAGGACAGAGGACAGGTAGATTTTAACAGTGGTTCAGAGGATACAGATGGTTTGTTTGGGGACATAGTGACAATGGATGAAGTGTTGTTTAAGCTGTGACAGTCTGTTTTCCTAGGCTGTAGTAAGTATTGCACAGGGGTTAAAACCAAGGAATGTAGATGCAGAGTGCTTAGACTTGAATCCCTTTCTCTCATTACTAGTTGTGTGACATGAGGCTAGTTAGTGAACTTCTCTGTGCTTTAGCTTCCATTTCTACAAAATGGGCATTGATAATATATACATGTCTTATGGAGTTTTAGCACATAAAAGAGTTAATACTGAGATAGAGCAGAGACAGGATACAAGCATCATGATTAATTTTCCAAAAAAAGCCAATATATAAACAGTAAAGTAAGAGTAGGCAAGATTCTATCTTAAGGCTAAGATTCTATTTTAAAAATCAGGAAGTAAGGAAGTAAGATTCTTAACATATTCTTTAGCAAACAGACAATAACTCAACCTACTTTGGGGGCAGGGCCGGCAGTCTTGATTGATATGTTCCCAGAAGGAAGCCACTGTCCTGGGGAGGAACCAGATCAATAAATTTCTTGTATTGTTTGTTTTGCAGAATTAGCTGGAGGACTGATAATAGAAGATAGGAGACATGGTGTCTCACCAGAGATGAGCATCTTGAGACCACTTGACAAGTCTACACCCCCTGGCCCTTTGTCACATTCCTAAAAATTCTTAAAAACCAGGAACTCCAGCCTTTTTGTGCACTGCCTCTCTGATAAACGTACACCTGCACTTTTTCCTCTTTATTATTATATTTATTTATTTATTTATTATTAATTTTTATTAAAGTATCATTGATATACACTCTTAAGGTTTCACATGAAAAACATGGTGGATAATATATTTACTCATATTACCAAGTCCCCCCCACACCCCATTGAAGTCACTGTCCATCAGTGTACTAACATGCCACAGAGTCACTACTTGTCTTCTCTGTGCTACACTGCGACCCCAGCACACCATGTATACCTATCATAATACCCCTCAATCCCCACCACTCCTCACCTTTGGTAATTGCTAGCCCCTTCTTGGAGTCTGCTGCTGTTTTGTTCCTTCAGTTTTGCTTTGCTGTTATACTTCACAAATGAGGGAAATCATTTGGTATTTGTCTTTCTCCACCTGGCTTATTTCACTGAACATAATACCCTCTAGTTCCATCCATTTTGTTGCAAATAGAAGTATTTGTTTCTTCTTATGGCTGAATAATATTCTGTTGTGTATATGTACATTTTCTTAATCCATTCATCCACTGATGGACACTTAGATTGCTTCCATTTCTTGGCTATTGTAAATAGTGCTGCGATAAACATAGGGGTGCATATGTCTTTTTTAATCTGAGATCTTATCTTCTTTGGGTAAATTCCTAGGAGTGGAATGCCTGGGTCAAATGATATTTCTATTTTTGGTTTTTAGAGGAACCTCCATACTGCTTTCCACAATGGTTGAACTAATTTACATTCCCACTAGCAGTGTCGGAGGGTTCTCCTTCCTCTACATCCTCACCAGCATTTGTTGTTCCTTGTCTTTTGGATGTTGGCCATCTTAACTGTGTGATATCTCATTGTGGTTTACTTTGCATTTCCCTGATAATTAGTGGTGTGGAGCATCTTTTCATGTGCCTATTAGCCATCTGAGTTTCTTCCTTGGAGAATTGTCTGTTCATGTCCCCTGCCCATTTTTTAATCAGGTTATTTGCTTTTTGAGTGTTAAGGCATCTGAGTTCTTTATATATTTTGGATGTGAACCCCTTGTTGGATATGTCATTTACAAATATATTTTCCCATACTGTAGGATGCCTTTTTGTTCTACTGATGGTGTCCTTTGCTGTACAGAAGCTTTTTAGCTTGATATAGTCCTATTTGTTCATTTTTGCTTTTGTTTCCCTTGCCCGAGGAGATACGTTCAGGAAACAGTTGCTCATGTTTATATTCAAGAGATTTTTGCCTATGTTTTCTCCTAAGAGTTTTATGGTTTCATGACTGAGATCCAGGTCTTCAATCCATTTTGAATTTACTTTTTTGTATGGGGTTAGACAATAATCCAGTTTCATTTTCTTACATGTAGTTGTCTAGTTTTGCCAACACCAGTTGTTGAAGAGGCTGTCATTTCCCCATTGTATATCCATGGCTCCTTTATCATCTATTAATTGACCAGATATGCTTGGGTTTATATCTGGGCTCTCTATTCTGTTCCATTGA